GAAATTGGATCAGCTTTAAGGATTGATATAAAATTAGTTAATTAATTTTACTAATCGTACTTCGCATTGAAATTTTTTGTATTCCAGTAAAATTACTAAGTAGTATTCAACGGTATCCTATTACTGTCTACTTTGTATGTAGTTTTGTGTGTATGTATGTGTGCATGCATGTATGTATGTCTGTATGTATGTGTGCATGTATGTATTTATGTAAGTGTGTGTGTTTGTATGTAAGTTTTATTTTGTTTCAAAAAAGAAGCATCGTCTTGAATTTTCAGAATTCCATTTGACATGTAAAATTATTACAACATACAACAGACGAAAGAATAAATAAAATGAATGAACACTCGTATACATTTCATACCAAGAATAACAATTATAAACTGCTATAATATATTACAGTGAACGGCCATATTAATATTACCTTTAATAAAATAATTAGCTTCTACCTCCCGTGACGTCATTATCGTGACGTCATTATTATAATTATTATCTTACCTATAATAAAATAATATTAACGAAAGCAAGCCAGATGAGTGTTGAACTAGTGAGGATGGTTTTGACCGACAGAAAGTAACCAAGAATAAAAATTTAACGTTATATACAATTATGAATATCTATGGGCAGAAATATGGCTATTAAGTTTGATTTGACAGTAATATCAGTCTGTCTGTCTATCTATCTGTCTATCTATCTATCTATCTATCTATCTATCTGTCTATCTATCTATCTATCTATCTATCTATCTATCTATCTATCTATCTATCTATCTATCTATCTAATCATCAGTACGCACAAAGATACCACTACAAATTCGAATGAAAACTTTTTAGTGTGTTGAAGAAAAGTTGTATAAAAATAATTTTGATTGGTTCGGTTATGCAAATATAAAAATATTATCCAGAAAAATAGATACAAAAATATTATATAATTTCAGGCAGAAAAGAGTTCACTGTTTAATTACGATTGGCTAAGATTACGGAAAAATAACTTTAGAACAAAATTAAACACATTTGATTGGTTAGAAGAAAGCGATACAAAAAACACTATTTAAGAGGACACTTGTAAAGAAATATAAATATCTCCCATAGGCTGTAGCTGCTGAACATTTATTAATTTTTTCTTTTTAAGTTCTAAAATTGTCGAAAAACTTCTCGCTGCAAGTCGTCGATCAGGGACAGATTTGATCAAAGTTAGTATCTGCTTGAAAGTCAGGCTATGATTGGCTGGGAATGAAGATCCTCGTTCCTGATTGGCTGGAGCTAATGAAGACGGGCGCTTTTTATTGGTTGACGATGTTATAATGGACATTATTTGAGTTTCTGATTTGCTGTTTGTCAATAGGTCGTCTTCCGGTATATCAGTTGTCTGGTTGATTTAGAGAAAAAATTAATTAGTTTAATTAATTAAAGGTAATTAACAAATTAATCTAATTAAATTTAAGGCATTATGACATATATTAGATATATTAGAAATTTTACAATAAAAAATCAAATTTTTAATTTTTATTTAACAGCTGAAACAGGAAAAATAGATCAATCCTATTAAATTAATAACAAAGTAATCATTAAATCAAATGGTCTTAAAAGAAACCTTTGAAAAATTTAGGGATCTGCAGGGTGTTCTCTTGGCAGGTGTAGTAGCGCCATTCAACATGTCCAAATTCCCTGCTATGGCTGCAAAAATATTATCCACTTCAATATCAATATTAATAATATTAATATCATTTTAAATAAATAATACGATATAATTATTATATTTTAATCTTAATTAGTAATTTTAAGGCTGATTAACTGTTGATGAATAAATGGGTTGAGTTAAAATGAGCATCTTAGTTTAGGTGCTAATATTTTCGTTGTTGGATTTTAATTTTTATATATCAATCAATCAATCAACCAATCATAAATCAGTCAATCAGTCAATCATAAATCAGTCAATCAATCAATCAAAGAATAGTCAACCAATTTCATTTGCCAACCAGTTAAAATACGTCAGCCAGCCAGCAAATTATATATCAGATACAATACAATACAACCTTTCATATTTGGTTCTAAAAATTCAATCAATCAACCAATCATTGAACCAATCACAATCATTCAACCAATCACAGTCAACCAACCGCTTTCATCAGTTATATTTCCAATAGATTGCTGAGTAATGTCCTGGAGAATGCCCCGCCTACAATTACTACTACCCCCGCCTCCAAAAATGACGTCATCATCACCGATATTATTAGTTCTTTGTTTTTTATTGATGTTATTGTTGATGTTAGCACTGATGTTGTTGTTGTTTTCTTTCAATGTCTGATCTAAATCAATGTCTACGTCCATTGGAACTTCCACTACGGAGGAAAAACATAACGTGTCATTGTTATTGCTGCTATAAATACTGTCATTTTAATAACAACAACAACAACAAAATAACAACAACAAAATAACAACAACCACAATATCAACGACAACAACAACAAATATTAACAACAATAATAGCGAAAAATAGTCATTTTAACAACAATGACAACAACAACAACAAAATTCCTCACTCATACTGGCCATCAGTCTGTTCTCCTTATCTCCATCCTCACCAATGACGTCACCATCTGCAGTAGCGTTCATCATTCTCATCCTATCACTCTCACTCAGGTCTCTCATCACTTCTAGCACGCTCCTATCTTCACTGACGTCACCATCATTATTATTATTATTATTATTGTTGTTGCTGTTGTTGGTTTTGTCTCCTACTTCGTTGCTCTCAGGATTTGTTATTAGGTTTTTCTTGTAGAACTGGGAGTTAGGAGTAATAATAATAAGAATAATAATGATAATAATAACAATAATAATGATAATAGCTATTATTGTGTAGTTAGTTGATCGATTGATTAGTTGATTGATTTGTTGGATGGTTAGTTGTTTGATTAGTGTAATTATTATTTTTGTTATTATTACTAATTATCAACAACTCCAAAAACCTTTGCACCCTGCCAAAATCAAACCAACCTCGATAAGCGTCTGGCCCACCTGGCAGACCTTCCTCCCCAGACAACCCCCGTCGCCGGCCACCCAGCCACCAATCATACGCTCGCAACCACTCCACTGCTTCCACCTCATTAGCATTTTTGTGGGCGGGGCCAAGTCGATCGTTTCCTGCATGAGATCTTTAGTATCTTTGGTATTCTTTCGCATGACGTTGCTCGGGATACTTCGGATCTCGTCGATGATTAGGCGCCTTTTTCGTTTTAGAGGACGTGCAACTCCTTCATTGGTTGATTGAAACAACAACAATAACAACAACAACAATAGTAATAAAATCCATTCCACCAATCACGAACGAACTAACCAATCAGTAAATCATAGTCATACTGAACCACCAACCAGTCAAATATTATTCAACAATTAATCAAACAACCGACCAATCAGCCACCTATTCAGTCAATCAATCGATCAACTATTCAATCAATCAATCGATCAACTATTCAATCAATCAATCGATCAACTATTCAATCAATCAATCGATCAACTATTCAATCAATCAATCAGCCAACTATTTAACCAATCAACCAACCAACTATTTAATCAATCAATCAATCAAATAACCGACCGACCAACCTAATTTATTAGTAGCAATAGGCTGTAGGACAAACATGTCATTACTCTTTCGTAAGAACGTCGACTGATCACTGTTGATGTTGTCGTGAATGTTGTCAACTTGATTGATGTCACGTAAAACCAAGGAAAGTTCTTTGATGTTGTTGTCTTTGTTGTTGCTCACGTTTAAAGGTGAACTTTTCAATGTGACTATTAAAAAATTTTCAAACGATTTCAATAAGTTATCTCATAAATCCAGTTACTTTAACACTAACAACGATAGAAAAAACAACAACAAACTATTTCCATCGTTGTTATCGATGTTGTTGGTGAGGTCATTTCTTTGTTGTTGTTGTTGTGGAGTTGCTATGATATTGTAGTCCAACTCGAATAATCCTAAACTTCTATTGACTATTGAAAATAATAACAATAACAATAATAACAACACACACACACAAACATACACACACATATATACTAACACACACACACACACACACACACCAACACACACACAAAACTTCCTATAATACTAAATGTTACTGCCAAAACTTAATATATAACTTTTAAAAGTAAATAAAATAACAACAACAATAATAATAATAAACAACAATAATAATAATAACCATCATTTATATCCTGTCCAATCACGGACTGATTGGCAATCTGCTCTAGATCATGCAACGTCCTATCTATATCTGTGAAAATATTAATTCATTATTAATTATTATTATTATAATTATTTGCTGATAAATAAATAAATAATAATAATAATAAAAGTACTGCTAGTCAACTGACAATAAAAATAATAACAATAATAATAACAATAACAATACTAACCTAGATCGTTATCCAGAGGCAGATCATAATTAACCCCATCACAGCGTCCGTCTGGCGTGGCCGTTGGCTGGTCCCTGAATGACCATACGTGCCTGCCACCTGGCGTGCCTAATATTATATTACATTTTTATGATAATTATTATAAAATTATTATATAATTATTATATAAATATTATAATAATAATTATACAATTATTATAGATATTATTTGTTAGTGTAATTTATTTACATGTATACAGGGCACCCATACACACACACATTTATAAATTTCTCTCTCTCTCTTTCTCTCTCTCTCCCTCTCACACACACACACACACACACACACACACACACACACACACATACACAGACAGACAATAATAATTTTCCATCTATTATAACATCAGATCGAGCATCTTGCTTACTAAAATAATATTGGTGTTCGTTGTTTAATTCCTTCAAAGTTATCTTATCTGGGGTCGACTGATACATAGGGATTTCGATTGGTGAATCTCTAGATTAATAATAATAATAATTATTATTATTATTATTTATACAATAATAAGAATTATCATTCGTTATGATTAAAATTGAATATTAAAAAATTAAATAAAAAACAAATATAATAGAATACATAGTAATAATAATAACAAACCCAAAATCATCAACGAGCATAAGAGCAGCGCACTCCAAATCTTCCGGCATCATTTCAGGGAAAGTGATGGCCGACTGTGGGGCTGTAGTGACAAAACTCGCCTGCTCAACTTTTCCCGGCCTGAATGCCATCTTGATTTTCATAACGGCCTCGGTGCAGTCACTCAGGAGGTAGCGGGCCTTTCGGTTGTGGATCCGAACTATGCCCAACAAAAGGTGACCAGATGTTCTCAAGGCTAATCTCACCTACGCGTAGTTTTATTTTTCATTGCTAGATGGCTTTCTTCAAGAATTTATCAATTGTATCGTTAAAATTATAAACTAACACTTTAAAGGTTTATCTTTATTTTAAAATTAAATTACAATTTAAAAAAATCAACCACATGGCGGTAAAAATAAACGTTGAATAATCCGGAAAGAAAATCCCTAACTGACCTGGGGCCGAACAATGGCCTCCACGCTGTTCTCAATGTCCGTCTCGAAAATTTGTGACTTCGTCAACTTCTTCTCCCAATGAGCGGCCAGCCATATCTTCGCCAGAGGCCCTTTCTTGATTAGGAAAATTTGCGCGTAAAACATTTTTTTTCAATTTAATTTTTGTTGCGATTTGATTATTTTAAGGATTTAATTGAAATTTATTTCCGATCTCGATCATCAAATTAATTAAATTTATTAATTAACTTTATTAAACAACAAAATCTCCGGGAAAAATGACAAATTTGGCGCCACTGTTAAGCCAAATGTGCTTTTAATGGCTAAAGACAGATTTTACTTTTAAGGCCAGTATCTCTTAATGTCATTTTTTAAATGGAACTACAAAATAAGTGGTTATATTTTATTAATTTGATTGAAATTGATACGAATAATTATGAATAATTGCAAATTATTCATGAAATATTGTTTCATTTGAGGAACAATTGGATAAAATGCACCTACACTGTTTGTAATACAAATTTTTGATATGAAAATGGATAATAATTCATCATTAAAAAAATATTTCATTTCATCATATGTTACTTGACAAGTTATACTGCTACCATAATGCTATAAACTGGCATATAACACAACAAAGCATTTAAATATCATGGTTTTTAAAATCATACTTGATTTACATGTGTTCTTGCACGGACAACCTGACAACATTAAGCACAGAGTGTGCTTTATATGACAATTTGTTTGTTTGGATCGTTTACGGTTCATATCATGGTCGTAAGATTGATAAATAAATATATCCATGCATATATCCATATATCCAGGCATACATCCATGGTTCATATCCTTTCAGATTTTTGGTCACTGAGTTATTTTGAGTACATTTTCAGATTAAATTTTTTTCAAGTGTAGCGAAAAATTCGATAAAATTTAATTTCTGGCACTAGTATATAGTAGAAATTCAGATATTTTTCATCCACTCATGCAACAATTTTATATTTTTCTTTACAGTTTGAGTCCTTGTCCCCTGCTTTACAACAGCCACAGCAGAGGCAGATCCAAAGGGAGGTGCCGGCGAGTAGACACAAAACCGGCCAGAGAACGGCGTGTAGAACCACTGAAGCTGGTGTCTTGTCGATTATGGCGACTCTGGGTTTGTTCGGGTTGTAGTAACATTTGAACGAATCGCCTGGCCGGCCCCAATCTCGCTTGAAACGACGGTTCTCTTTCAGGTTCCAAATGTCGTCACTGCATTCGGTCAGTGAACACTGAGTAGTTATACATGTTGGTGAGTGAGAATGAATGTATTAATAATTAAAATTTAATTCTGACCTCAAATATTTTACGAAATTTTATTACAAAGTAGTTTTTTTACCATTTAATTAACAATAAATTTTGCCACAGATATAATTGAAACTATAAAAGTGAGAGATACCTACTTTTGAGTAGAAGGAATCATCCCATGACCTGTACAGCTGGGCAATCTGAAATGACCTATCAACTTTCTCGTCGTTCACTGCATCGTCTGCTGTTTCACCCTGGTCCAAGAAGAGCAAACTTGCGTTGGAAATGGAAATGTTTGAGTTGAAACCATCGAATAAGTTCTGCTCCATAGATGTGTGTGAGATGTTTGAAGAATTTTCATCGTTCGATATCTCCACGTCCGTCGATGAAGATTCATTAGCAGCGTTGCTGTAAAGTTCCAACGGAAGTTTCGAATCGGTCGAGTCCAAAAAATTTTGAACTGGTTTCTCTTTAGAAATTGTTTCAATCTGAAACTGAACGAATATCTGCAAGCATGGATATTTGGACTGACACATGAGATGAGGAGAGGAGGGTGGAATGTTACGGAACTTTGAAATTTGAGATGTGACGAGCATGACTTGAGCTTCCATCATGGCATCTACGTTAGCTACAGATGTTGTCCTATTGATTTTATCCTGTGCTGACAAGCTATCTCCCTCAGATTCGATGGCATAACTGCCAGAAAACCCTTCATCGCAAGAGCAAAAGTGGGCACTGTACGACGAGTTGACAACCTTGCAGTTGACGAGAGGCCAGAGCCGGGTCGTCTCAAACGGCAGAACAATAATGAATCCCAGGCAGCATATAAGCACGCAGCCTATGAAAATAAGAAACGCCCCGATACAGAAATAATTTATGGTCACTTTAGATGATTCGGACATCGCTGCAGTTCGAAATATAATGGCGATTAAAGCCTTAAATAGCGATAAACATTTTTAGGCTTAATTTTTCACATATATTTACCAGAAATATCAAATGTTTATTAACGCGTCGAAAGGCATCTTACGACCCTCGCTTGTGCATCGTCACAGCAACTACGTACGTACGAACGCATACGTGCGTGCAGCTGATGCTTGCTTCCAGGCAGGTAGGCAGTGCAGAGTGAGATTGTGTGCGCGCTGGAATGAACGAATGAAAGAACACTTTTGTTGAAGAATTTCAATAAACTAAATTAACGATTCTTAAGATATGGGTCTAATTTATTAAAGTTAAAAAATTTTTTCCGACATTTCACCTGCAAACCACCACTGAAAATCATTTCACGAAGCAACCATTTTTTAAGAACTGTGCTGCCCACAACATCGCATTCGAATTTGTGATTCTTAAATAATTTTTAACATTTCTTATAAATATTAAATTACGAATTACAAATTACAGGTAGAGTGCAGAAACAACCAAACGAAATAGATACATCATAAATAATGAACCGATCAAAGAATAATGAAATAATAATATGAACAACATCCACAAATCCAATCACTCTAATCATCTTCTATTTCCTTCGCCTTCACAGATTCACCAGATTTCGCTGTTGAACCCAAACCTTTACCTTTAGATTTCACCTCATCTTCTTCATCTGCGGTTGCAGTAGTACTCGGCGCTTCCTTGGCTTCTGTTGTTTCACTTTCATCCTCTGGAGAAGGTTTTGGTTGTCTTAATCCGGCTGTAGTTGGGCCAACACCAGGCCCCATTCCACCAAACCCTGGTGGTTTCTGGGTAAAAAAAGTTGGTCCTCGCTGCGTGAAGGGTGACCGAAATGGTCTCCATGGCGGAAAACGTTGGGAATGGTTCGTTGGCATGAAGGGAGGTCTCGGTGGTGCCATCATCACCATCATTCCTCTATCTCGACTGGCCGATTTTGATTTTTCTTTCGCCTCTCGCTCAGCTTTCTCCATCTCTCGCCTCTTCTCCTTTTTCTTTTCCTCTCTCTCTTCTTCATCAGCTTTCTCTAAGGAATATTTTACTCGGTTCTCAATGTGCCTGCGTATTTTTTTGGAAGAATTTCATCAAATTTATGGTTGAAAAACTGACATCTAGGCATAGCAACTCAATCAAGTGAACATTAACTAAAATTCAAAATGTACACAACACAGCAAACACATTTTCAATGAAAATAAATAAGTCCCATCAAGTTCAAAATAAAACAACCGCTAAACTATATTTCAACTCTTCATCCAATACATTAGCTAGCACTCAACCAGTATATATGCTGAGCTATACACACACATCCAGCGTCAATAAAATCAAACAATCTACGAAAGAAAATAGAAAAACTAAAAATAAAAACAAGATGAAATAAGAACGAAATTCTACCTGACTAAAAGAAACAGAGTAGAGCACCCGCCAATAACGACCAAGCATACGAGAAGGGAGTTGTATATCTTCTTGAAAGTTGACATCGATACTCTGGGTGCTGGATAAGCTGTGTTGTTGTTGTTGTCGGTGTTGTTGATATAAACAAACATACAAACAAAACACACAAACAAACACAAACAAACAAACACATACAAACAAACACATACGAACAAACACATACAAACAATACATACAAATAATTTATAAAAACGAACCAACAAACATATAATGAAGGCAAACAAACGAACGAAGGAACAAATGACCAAACGACAGACAGACAGACAGACAAACACACAAACTTCTTTCGCATTGGTCCCCAAAATGACGGGCGGCACACTTATAATCAGGACAGGTGCCAGACATGACGTCACATTGAATCATGATACCCTGACAATAGCATTTCAATTTGCAGTCCAGAGAATACGAACCCAGCGGACAAGCTAATGTTTGTCGGCATGTTGTAGCGTGAATTATCAGCCATTAATTACGTAATAATATAATAGATAATCATCTACGTCTCGTCGTTTCGAAACAATACGATACTGAAATGATGCTTAGAATGAATGAAACGAGACGGGTCCAGTTATAATGATATATAATAACGAAACGAGAACCCAGATTATTTCCAATAATTCTCTAGAAGTAAACAGTAGAAAAACTATATTTCAAATGTAGTAAGAATTGACATAACTGGCCGCATCTAATACAATCGGTATTCACTTTCCTAAGAAAGCGATTCTTTTGCAAATATATGTGCACGTGAGGTGCTTGTTGTGGCTGCCAGAGCAACATACAAAAAAAACATACACAACGCAAAACACGACACAAACACATCACAAAACACGACACATACACAACGCAAAACACGACACATACACATCACAAAACACGACACATACACAACGCAAAACACGATACATACACATCACAAAACACAACACATACACACCACAAAACACGTACAAACCACAAAACACAACACAAACACGCCACAAAACACGACACGTACAAACCACAAAACACGACACGTACAAACCACAAAACACGACACAAACACGACACAAAACAAGACAAAATCCTACTCGAGTATACGCTGAATGCCATAATCCCGCCACACTTTTGGGAATGGTTTCCCTTGCACGGACTGCCGCATATATATTCAGGAATGCTTCCATACGTGTTGTAAGCGTTACCGCAGTGACACTGATCGCCTTCCTTATTTTTGTTATTATTTTGGTAATTATTATTATTATTATTGTTATTATTATTATTATTATTGATTGGCAAGTGTGTAGTGTTGGTGTCGAGTTGTGTGAATGTTTACAAAAAAAAACACGAGCAAAGAAATAAAAGAGTGTCCATCCATTTATCCATCTTTCCATCCATCCGTCCGTCTGTCCGTCCGTCCGTCCGTCCCTTCATCCGTCCATCCATCCATCCATCCATCAATCCATCCATCCATTCATCCATCCATCCATCCATCCATCCATCCATCCATCCATCCATC